ACGGCCGCGCGCCTGGGGCTCCCCCCCGCCGCGCTCCGCGCCCGGGCGGCCCCGGGGTGACTCGGGTGTCGTGGGCCGAGGGCCGGCAGCGGCCTGTGGCTGCTGGAGGCGGGGGAGGAAGCGTTTCCTGAGGCAACACACGGTGGCTTAGGGAAGCTTCACACACGCACGCACACACAAAATAATAACAATAATAAAAAAAGATCGTGGAAGGGAAAAATTCAAGGAAATGCTTTGATTTTTTTAAAGATATATTGCAAATAATGGCGTGCCTCGGAGCGGAGCGGGAAGGGAGCCGCCAGCGGGGCCGCGGACTTGGGCAGGAGCTGCGAGGCTGAGCCGGGCTCAGGACCTTTCCCTGCGCCGGCCGCCCAGGCGCGATCCTGGCAGTGCGGAGTCCGGAGCACGCGCCTCGCGATGAGCAGCGCTGCGGCCGCAACTCGCTCGCGCGGGAGCACGCGGCCCTTGCGGTGCTCCGCGTCCGGCATTCGGAGGGCTTTCTGGTTGTAAATACACCCGTCTCCCCATTGTGTTTACAGGCGGAGGTCACTGCCATGAAGCGCCCGCGCTAAATTCGGGGAGGGAAGTTGTGCGAGCCGTAGACCACCAGCATCTGTTTATCATTGTTAGGGCTGCAGAAAAAAAAAATATCCTCTGGATTTTCAGCTGCGAGAGTGAAAGAAACAATCGGTGAGGTGAAATTGGTTTGGGGAGATTAAGAGAGTATTAATGAGCAACTGGAACAAATTAGTGGCGGAGCAGTGGAGACAACAGGAAGGAGTAAAATGCTACAGGGTCCCACATCCCTGCCATTCCATGAGCACCGCTCCCCTCCACAGGCCCGCAGTCTCCATGGGGCTCATGCCTCTGCAACAACACTTCATCAGACTGAAGTCTGCCACTACAAATGCCATCTTATACCAAGCTTGTTTGTCTTTTCCTCATTCTTTTATGCATATATATACAAATATATACCAACAGGCCAGTGGGAGAAAGCAGTTGAGATGGGTGTTGGGAAAGAAGTGAAACAGGCTCTCGGTTGAAGCGGCTGCCTCTGTTCACCCCAGGCCTCCGTGTGCCTGCAGGACCAGGGTCCTGCTCGCTGGCAAGTTGCACCACCGACACCAGAGAAAGGGAGACAAGGTGGCAAGAAAGGGTGGTGGTGGGAACAGGAAACCCGTGGGAAATGACAGCGGAAAGTGAACACGAAAGGGGCGGCCTGGCAGGGGAAGGGAAGGTAGCAAAGGAGGAGAGGAGGTGTCGGTGACCATAGGTGAGCATGGAAAAAGGGAACGAATGACCAGCACAACGTACAAGGAATGTGGGTGACAGAAGAGGGAGAGGGCTGGAAAGAAAAGCTGAGAAGGGCGCGCAAATGAAGGCTGAACTAAAGGGACATATTTTGCCCTCATTCATACTGAATAATACTTGCATATCTTGTACCATGGAGTTCACATGAGGGCTCATCATGTGACCGATTGCATTCAACACGAATACGGGTAGCAGAAAGTGGTACAAAGAAAGAAAGGCAGGGAAAGAATCAGGGCAGAGAACAAAGAAGGACTTGGGTTATGAGTAAAATACAAAAAAATGAGAGTGGCTGAGGGAAGCAAAAGGGTGAACGTGGATATTCTCAGGCAAACACAAAGGGGAGTTGACACTTATTTTGGTACAGAACCATCAGAATTCCGCGTACCATCTTCATCTAAATACTTGCTTGTGCTTGTGGCAGAGCTGTGGTGACCCTGTGGAATATGCTGGCTACCTCCCAGTGGGAGCTTTGAGCTGCCACCCACCAGCCTGGGGAGCAGCCCGTGGGATCACAATGACAGGGAAGTCAGCCCTGACCGAGGGCATTTTCTCTGGCTCTTCCCTTCTTGCTGCACAGACTCCTCTTGGCATATGTGAAATGGCTTGGTTTTCCTCGGTAGTTTTGCCTCATTTGTTTGTGGCTTAGGGGTTATTCTGAGAAGATGGCCAAGTCGGTGTTGTCAGTCTTGTATGGGGAAGTTCTTCTGGGAAGGAACAATGTTGAGGTGTTTGCTGCGGATGAGGTGAGATTGTTCTAACGCCCTTTGGATATTCATTCCGTAACAAGATTTTCACAGCTGAAAATACCCTTTTCCCAATTTCCTTGTGATTTCTGTTGGTCTGAAGGACTGCAGGTACTTCAGATGTTCGTAGACCGAACTCTGGTGTGGGGACTAGTCCTGGCCGGGCAGAATGATCCTGGGCGGGCAGAGATGGGCACGCAGCAATGGGCAGGCGCAGCCTGTCCCCGTCGATAACTGCTGCAGCACCCACACAGTGCAGGGCTCCTTCTCCTTGCAGGTCTGGCTCCCAAACCACCACCAATGAATGGACAGAGGCCAAGTTTGTAGCTTTGCCTAGAGATCCTTCGGTGGAAAATACAGAAATAGTACCAGTACTTGTTGTTATGAATATGAAAAACAGAGCGTAAGGAAGGATTAAGGTGCTCGGAGGACTTTGCTGGAGAGCTGTCGGGCTAATGTTACAACTGCCTTTGCAAGAAGGCTATCACTACCGTGCAAACAAAACATCATTACGTGGGTACAAAAGTTGGGCTACTAAATAGGTAAATTAACACAAAAACATCCAAACAGCCCTATGAAGTTTCCTGTCATTAGTTCTCTTTAAAAATATTTATGCACATACAGTATCAGTGTATCTGTGCCCTTGTTCAAATCGTTTTAGCACAAACACTGCTCTTAGCAGCAGCAATTGCATCTCATGGGGCCGATATTATAATTAATGAGATTTGAGGCACATGTACTGAGTCAAATTTAAGTTTTTAATATCAGAAATGAAGATCCAGGGTTTGTTGAAAAGGGGGATGAAGGGGTGGCTGTACTTTAAAGCTTCTCAGTCCAACACTGGAAAGGAATTCACAATGTATTTTTAGAGTGTTATAAAAAAGCTCTTACATAATGCTGATTAATTCTTAGGTTTTAGGGAAGAGCACTGGGCTTTGTGTATGAGAGTGTTGACCAGCTAAGCCACCGAAAAAGGGCTGCTTTGGGCTGGATTTTTTTAACTTCTTAGATATAGAAAGCTGCAATTATTCCATTATTACAAGATTTTGCTTTTGTTTGGGCGTGTATGAATATTTTTCTGGAAACTGCATCTTATTCTTGGAAGTCTTTATCATTTTAAAACATATGCTATGTTATATCACCCTGTCTGAGATATAGGATAGCTACAAACTGTTTTTTTCCTCTCTCTCTCTCTCTCTCTCTTACTGCAGCTAGTTACATTATGGATTAATGTTAAGAATGTCTGCAGTGAAACTGTTCCTTGTGTGGCTGCATCACCCTCCCTTACCCAATGTTGCTTATGCTTTAGAACCACCACTTTCCTCATATCCTTTGATACATGCAATCAATGTATAGTTCTGCCCACCGTGTGGATTTTCAAGATTATTAGTGCATCTAGCTGGCTGCTTTCAGACAGCTTTTAACAAGGGCCTCTTCAAGATATTATGAAGTCATGAGATGGCGCTCCCTTATTTTAATTCTAGTTATATATAGTTATTGTCTTGTAGCTGGCAAGATTTTTTCGCCGAGGTATCATGAGAAAGGGAGGCTTTTGCTTGGTGTTTTTCAGCTGCTCTGTGGCCAAGCCTTTCCCCAGATACCTTCCTCCTCCTACAGGTTGTTTAATCTTTCCGGGGAGTTTCTAACTATGAACCTCATTCCACAATCTCTCATTCTTGTGCCATACAGATGAATAAGAATTGCTCAGGTGAGTGAGATAAGCCCTGAATCGTTATTAGAGAAGGAAGATAGGAGGACTACATGGGTCAGAAGTGTAAAACAAAAGCTTTATTTGTCCCTGTCTTCCAGTTGGGAAGAAATAAAAACCGGGTAAATATAGCTCAGTGGTAGTGAGAGCAGTGCAGTAAAAGCAGACTCCAAGGCAGGGCTCATTAATAGGCAGTTTGTCACCCAGATCTCGTGCCAGCAGGGCTCCCCCTTTCCCTCCCTAATGTCTCCTGCAGGTGTTCCTGCAGTGCCCTGCAAGGAGTGCCCACCGCTCCAAAGTTAATGCTGCTCTGCAGCCTTCGGTTGCCTCTGTTCTTCTGGGCTGAAGGACACGTGTCCTGAGGGCTGCAGTGCAGCTCTCCGAAGGGAGCTGGGGGCAGCTTTGAGCCCCGGGCTCAGCCTTGGCAGAGGAGAAGCAAATCTGCACCTTGAGGCTGCCTGCAAGAACTTGCTCTCTGCTGTGATCCGCCCTGCAACACAACCCGTCCTCGCTCTCTCACTCTCACTGTGCCCACGGAAGCTCTGGCCCTGGTTCTTCTTTGCACTTTCTTTTTCCTATAAGAACCAGGACCATAATTTCCTTCTGTCTTTGGAAAGGAGGAAGGATTTTTGCAGAGGCCATGTGTGAACTGCCCTAGATGCTTTAGGTAACATAATGTGGATAAAACCAGCCTGGTGTTTTAAGATACCTGTCTGAAATTGCATGTTACCAGATAATTCAGTCTGTGAAAACATAGTAAGTCTTGGTCATTATAGTGAAATAATAAGTCCCATCATTTGAAAGAGAGATGATAGGCATCATTAATGGCCCGATGATTTCTCACATCAGGAATGTGCTTCTGTGCACTGTAGGTACCAAAAATAGAAAAATAAGAAAACAGCCTGAAACCTGGGGCTGTGGGGTCTTCATTGGGTGCGTGTGAGGCTGACGTGGACTCCCGTCCTCCACGAAGCTCCACGTGGGCAGAACTGTCTTTGCGTGATGTGGCTCGCCGATGGCTCCCGCGCTGCTTTGACACCTGCAGACTGCTGGTGACTTCAGCAGACCTGCTCAACACAGTCGCCATTCATTTCTTTTCTTCTTCTTTCTTTCATTTTTTTTTAGGATTAGCCAAAATGTGAGACCGTACCGGCAACATTTCACACCACAGCCTGCAGGCCCAGGCTGGCACAGGAGTATCAGAGGGAAGAGGCTGACTTGAGCTGGTAGCTCTTCGTGACTAGGACAAATAACTGCCCGAGAACACCCGAGTTTTTGCATTTATTAAACTCAGTTAATAGGGCAGGTTCCAAAGCAAGCTGTGCCACTCACGGGGAAGATCTGGGGAAATAAATGGCCACAGCTAGCACGCTGTGACAGCCCTGCCAAACCTTTACACAGTTTTATAGAGCAAATGCATGGGATGTTCTATTCCCTGGGTAACTCTTTACCATTGGATGTTCATACTTAATATAAAAGATGAATAAAATGGTTCTATCTCTCCACATATTTACTTAGCACATATTGGTGAATTAAATATCATCCCCGTGGTGTTCCACATCAGCCATGCTATAGCAACATATTCAAACATAGCAGTAGCTTTGTGGAACTTGTCTGTCTGCTCTGATGTGTGTAACCGTGGAGGACAGAGATCACTTCAGTCTGTACTATGGGCTTTTAGGGAGCTGGCTTCCCTGGATCTCAGAAATCATGGGAAACAAACCCA